CTCCAAGGAGAGGGGAGGGAGAGGAATGTTCCTGGTTGAGGCCAGACGGGTCAGGGGCCCCGGTGCCCACTGCTAGCTCTGGGCTGGCAGGCTTGGAGCTGGCACAGGCACGAGGGGAAGCTCAGGGCCTAGGGTCGGGGGTCTCGCTGAACCAACTTGATTTTCATGAAAATCTGATCCTGGGTTCGCATGTGGCCTTTGGTGGCCAGGCTGGCAGCTATCCTGCCATAGACGGCCGTGTTCCTCCATCTAGTGCGGAGATCATGGACATTGGGGGCATCCCCCGAAACCTCCACTCTGGACCAGGAAGGCATCCACCTTCACCAGCCCCTGTCATGCTCCTGGGAGCTGGCAGACTGCTCCTGGGGAGCAGTGGAGGGGTGGCTGCCGGTGGCTTGCTGGCTCATGTTTTGGGGCCATTGGGTCGGGGCAGTGACTGCTGGCTCTGGGCCAGCAGACTTGGAGCTGACTCTACCACTTTAATGGCTCTGGGGAAGAAGAGAGTAAGTTTTCCTGGTTGTGCCCAGAGTGGCCACCAGGGCTCTCTGGAAGGGGCTGGAGACCCCCTATTTCAAATTAAGTGTCCACACAGCACTTAATTCAAAATAGCTATTTCAAATTTGGCGTTACTCCTTGTAGAACGAGGTTTACCAAATTTGAATTTGGTGCTCCGCTATTTCAAATTAAATTTGAAATAGTGGTTTGCATGTATAGATGCTATTGAAGTTAATTCGAAATAAGGGCTGTTATTTCAAATCAACTTTGCAGTGTAGACATACCCTTAGCTATCTTGAAAAAAGGAATGAGCATTTATATGGATAGAGTGAACACCGAGAGTCACATCAGAGAGAATTAAAAATTTAAAGGGGCATGAACCCTCCTGGTTTAGGGCATAAAGAAGCCTTAAACAGACAGGAATAGGAGATTTCCCTTAGAGGCACAGTGTTTCTTAATTGGCCACTGCACTTTATTACATCTTCCTGTGGAACATCTGTTACTGACAACTGTCAGGATACTTGGCTAAGCAGAAGCTGAAGCTAGAGAAATTCAGCCTGTAAATAAGGAGTAATTTTTTTAACAGTGAGAGTAATTAAACATTGGATACTCTAGCACTGACATTTTTTAAATCAAGCTTGGAAGTTTTCCTAAAAGACCTGCTCTGGGAACTATGTTGGGGTATGTGCTGGGATAAAACTCACCTCTGCAGTGCTCCTGCTGACTGTCCCCAGGGAGTAGCCCTGCTAGCCAATGCACATTCTTCTGGGGGTGTCTCACCCATCATCTCTTCCCCAGGTCCTGTGTTGTTCCAAGGACCACAGCATCCTTTTCAGGACACAGCCCTCCAGCTCTGCCACACTCTGTGCTCCCTGCCTTCCAGGCTGTAATGGACAAGAGGAGTGCTGACCAGCACTTGGTGACTAAGGGGTTAAATTCAGGTAGCTAGCAAAGATGTTGGCCAGGGGACCAGGAGAACCAATCAAGAAAGAGGGATGGAATTTGAATTGTATAAGGTTCCTTGCCTGCTTTCTTTGTGTGGGAGAGAAAAAACAGTTGAGAGACAGAGAATGATTAAACCCCAGGCAGGACTACCATGCCTCCAAGGAATTTGGGTCATGGAAGTGGACTGAATAAAAAGAAGATTGGAAGTAATTAAAGGGAAAAAGTGAATCTAGTCTCGTTCAGGGGTGGGTTTTTTTTTAATTTTGTGATTTGGTTTGAACTGCTCTGTGTGAATCTATGCCTCCCCTCCCCATTTACCATCCAGCATTGTGCCCAGAGACTTTTCTCTGTGTTTTAATTTGTTTTCCTTAGTTGCTCTGTAACATCCATCAACCAAGGATGCTTTATCAAGTTTATCTTTTGTTTTGTATTAAACACCCCTTTTTTTAAGGTGATGATTTGATTCTTGTGTCCTGGAAGGTCTGTCTGTCTGTGTGTGTCTGAATGCCACAGACTGAGAGGCCAGCTACCAGAAACTACAGCTTGTTTTTCTCTCTTCTTTTTTCAAGCTCTTTTGGGGCAGAAGAGCTTGGGGTACCCCTGGGGGTGGGTTCAAGTGTTCACCCTTTGTTTTTTAGGGATAAAAATCACTTGATGGTGGCAATGATTCCCTAAAACCTGTGTACTGTGATTCAGGGGGGAGAGGGGGAGGGAACATTTTTTTGTAACCAGTGTCTATAGGGGTTTTCTTTTTCAGCTTTTTCAGCTTTGCAGAGTGTCAGAGTGGGGAACAGCCCTGACACAGGAGAGGGTACCACAGTCCAAAAATCCATCCACTTCCTCAGCAGGGAAAGAAGGGGGAGAACAGGGTCCATCACTACTCCAGGTTCCAGCCTAGGTACCCTGCAGATGGCAACCATATGCTGAACCCCCTCCAACTTCTAAGCCTACTTCCCTGAGCCCCTTCCCCACAGGCCTAGCACCTTCTTTGCCTTTGTCTCAGGGCCTCAGCATGCCTGTCTTATCAGTCAGCCAGGAATATGTGCTCAGGCTCCTGATCCTGCCCAGTACTGCTCTGTCCACGGTGCTAGCTTTCTTCCTCCTGCAAGGCAGCCAGTTTCTCCTTCCTCCAGCTCCAGGGAACACCTGAAGCTGCTCTTTCTTGCAATCCTTTGTATATGGGCCTGCCTAGCCCTGACTGACTACTTCTCACAACCCCTCTCTATTGGCTGCTTTCTGTGCAGCCTTCCTAGGGCCCATTAAACCCTTAGAGGCCAGTGTGGAGCAGACACCCCTTCAGAGGGAAGTTCTGTGGCCTTTGTTATACAGATGGCCAGACCAGATGATCAGAATGGTCCCTTCTGACCTTGCAGCTTATGAATGGATGTACTACAGAGCTGGTTTGCCCTGGCAATTCCTATGTTCTTTTGTTGTGAATTGTTCTCCCAGCTGAAGGCTCAACTAGCAGCTGGCTAGATGAGATGAAACTAGGCTCTCTCATGGAAAATGCAGTAGGAAAATGTGCATCTGTCATCTATTTCTCTGTGCCACGCAGGGAAGCATGAAAGTGGTTTTCAGCACAACACTTGGATGTCACAGGCAGGCCTTGTTTAGTGAGCAGCAAGAACCCGTTTTAAAACTCCATTGGAAAATACTTGAAAATGTTCACAAATTGAGGGAAACCTGTGTGCAGCTGTATCATATTGGAGAACATTGCTAGTAGCAGGATGATTCTCTGATTGGACAGACTTCAAAGCAATAGGTCGTGCCTCTCACCAGCAGGCGGAGCTTAACGGTGGGGTCTGAATTCAGAACCTCCTTTTTCAAAACATAGGCTGGTAGAGTCTGAACTAAGGCAGTATCTCCGTCAAGAAAGCAGTAATGTGATTCCCCAGCCATTAGAGGGTGATCTAACCATGTACCTGTGAACAGATCAGACATTATTCTCTGGGTCCTACCTTGGGGCAGGTTGAGAATGTGAGGAAGGTCACAAACAAGCTGTCCTAGAAAACAAACAGAACAAAAACCAACCAACAAACAAACAAAAAACCCAAGGGTCTAAACATGGACTAAATGCCCAGAAGTGGCCGATCAGTCTGGCAAATTCAAGTGCTGCCAGCTGTTCAGCAG